GTGTTAAATCTCACGCGCTCCGGTTGCAGACTTACTGATGCATTTTCCGTCGTACGCCACCCCGATGGACCTGCCGAGCAGACAGGTCGCCTTTCTCAGGTGGCACGCGCTCGGATATGTGATCCCGTCGTTTCCACACAGGTACAGATCAGGCGAGGTCGCGGGGGGGCAAATCCGATTACACGTCACGCAGTACGCGTTGTTCGTCTGGTCCACRACGCAGTTGGAGGTCCCGGGGCACAAGACCTGACGGCACGTTTCTGGCGACAGAACAAAAAACATAAATAATGAGAGGGGGGTGGGGGGTGGGGGGATTCTCTTAATTGGATGTCTAATATTTGACTTACTCTTGCATTTGCCCTGGTACTGCACGTCCAGGTCCGGGTTGGTTTTGCATTTCGCCCTCAGGAGCGCGCACTCGTCTTTGTAGGTCTTGCCGTCTGTGCCGCAGACGGGTCCCTTCCAGGTGATGTTGGAGCAGTCGGGCGCGCACACGCAGCGCGGCTTCCCCTTGCGGTTGATCTTGCACGTCTTCCCGGGCCCACAGTCCACGTTTTCGCAGCTTTCTGAAAGACAAGGTCTGCTGTTCACAACACAGTGGAGGACTTTTACGCACGCCGCTGCGCGCCTGTAACATTTCGACGTGAAAGGAAAAATAAATAAATAATAATAATAATAAAAGAATGTGTGTATTGTGAGAAAACCAAAGGAAATGATTGCACCTCCACCTTTGCAAGGTATGCAATTAGGCGCGCCCCCATTGAAGATCATCCACCTAAAGAGGGTGGTGTTGGGGACGTCCTCCTCGGTCCAGGACGTCCCCAGYCTTTGACTCCGGCAGCACTCCTCTCTGCTCATCCCGGGCATGTAGAGCACCTGGCATCTCCCGTTCTTCCCCTGTTGCAGCCAGCAGTTTCCAGCTGTAAAACAGCAGCAACAACGAGTTAAAATGCATACAAAATAAACATTTGTAAAAAAAAAAAAAAAAACCCAAGTAACGCGGGCTGAGCGTCTGAAAGCGCTCATCCAGACGCACTAGACGCAGACTGTATTATCCGAGACGCTCCCTCCCTCCTATTTCGCCCTCCCGGCGGTATTTTGTCTGATTTTTTTTTCTTTTTTTCTTGCAAGACTGTTAACACTTGCCTATTCCAACTGTGACTGACAGCCATTACAATGTAGCCACAGACCAAAAAAAAAAAAAAAAAAAAAAAAAAAAAAAAGGGAGATTTTTTTTTTTTTTTTTTGATGGGGAGGGGAGGGGGAGTTCTTTTATTCACGGAGTCTCTCCTTGTACCTCTGGACAGAATCTGAAGCGTCTAGACAGCAAAGAGAAAAACCCAAAGTCTTTAGGTTCTGACCAGACTGAACACAGCACCATCTGCAGAGCCTCGGCGCAGAACATACCCAGCAGACAATGCCAGGCAAAACACCAGTGTCAAATGTACTTATTTTTTATTTTAAATGAAAAAAAAACAGAAATATTGTCCTTTTTGTCAGTGCTACAATAAAAAACAAAACATCCCAGAAAAGCCACAGGACGCGCGTGAGACTGTCCGTGCGCTCGACCTGCTGCGTTCCTCCTGTTAAAGATTTCTGTCTGAAACACAAACCCAGGACTAAATGAGCACAAAAGTCTCCAGTGGAAATGTTTTTTTATTGCCACAGTCAAATGACAACATAATAAAGAGGATTTTGGCGCACAATGCGGAAAGASTGTGCGCGCAAAAAGAAATAAACCTGTAACTGGCTCATTAAGTGGCACTCTGAAGTTTGTTGGACAGACTGGAACTAAACGCTTGTCAGAGAAAGGAAACTAAAAGTCCCCCCCCCCTCCCAAATACATATTTAGGTGCTGCAGGAAAAACTGACTTTGGCACCAACGTGGGGGTGGCGGCTGTTTTCCCTGACGCGCAAAACTTGCCATATCCCACTTTAAAGGCTCACATTAAAACACCTGTTTTATAGAGGTCTGAAGAGAGGAGACTATCTGAGGATTATAAAAAAATAACTCTGAAAAGTTTCTCAGCAGTCTGAAAAATCGCGCATTTAGTGGCTGACAGCAAAGTTTTTCTTTTATTTAGAGAATTAAAAAGAAAAAGGATGAGCTTACCTTGAACTTTTTGATGTTCCAGGAGGTGACAAAGCCACAAGAGGAAGAAAAATATGCCCGGGTGAAGGTGGCGTCTGAGCATCCCAAACATGACGGAAAGGCAGAGCGAGGCTCCTATTTGACGCACAGGCAGCGCAAAACTAATCTGCTTAAGGTGGCACTGTTGGATAAGTGTCCGTCTGAGAATGCAGCCTCTCTTTTTAAATCTATAAGGGGTCTCGAGTTGACTGTCTCTGGTGGGCGGGCTCCTCTTCTCTGGGGGTGGGGATATGTTGTGTGTGTGTGTGTTTTTCCCTCCTCCTCCTCACCAAAGTTCTTTCAATCCAAGTCAGGTGACACAACTTTCTCATGTTGCCATAACGCGCACATATTTGTTTTAAAACTCAAACCTCCCCTCATATTTAGACAGTGTAATTTGGAAAATTAGAATAAATAAATAAATAAATAAATAAATAAATAAATAAATAAATAAATAAATAAATAAATAAATAAATAAATAAATAAATAAATAAATAAATAAATAAATAAAACAGACAAGGGGATGTATTAAGCTTGTAATGATAATTGTTAAAATTTCATTCCATTTAAAAGTTTTTTTCTGTTGTTGTTGTTTTGTATAAATTAATAATAAAAACTGCTTAGGCATCCCTTTTGTGTATTCAAACTTACTACTATTAATAATACTATTACAAATAATATTAACACTAATAGTTAGAAAATTGCATTATCTAAAAATACAGTGTGTATTTTGAGAGCTGAATTACTGCTGAAATCTGCTGAAGAAGCTGAAACTGAGTTGGTAAAGCTAAAGGAGCAAAAAATAGCTAAAAGCTTAAAAAAATGTTAAACAGCTGAAAGCAAAAACCATGCTAGCTAAAAGCCAAAATGCTGGCTGAAACCTAAAAGTAGATAAAATGACTAAAAGTGCCAAAACATGAGTTAAAAAAGCTAACACCTTAAGAAGAGCTAAAAGTAGCACAAAAAGCTTCAACTAGCTAAAAACACTAGCTTAAAAAGTAAATGTTAGCAAAAACTTCAAGTAGCCTAGAAAAGGGATAATTAAAAAGCTAAAGTAGCAAAAGTCTAAAGCCAAAAAAATGTTATAAAGTAGAAACTAAAAGTAAGAAAATACAATTTTTAGCTTTTAGGTCAAAAGTAACAAAAAGCTACAAAGTGGAAAAAGTAGCTAAAAGTATCAAAAGGCAGACTAAAAACTAAATGTAGCAAAATATAAGCTAAAAGCTAAAAAGTACACAGAATGGTTGGAAGACTAACAAAAAGCAAGTTTTCTTCAGCTGATTTCAAATAAAACAATATGCGATTTCTGAATCAGTAATAATAATAATAATAATAATAATAATAATAATAAAGTTTTTTAAGGAGACTGACTTATTCCAGACCTTCCTGTCATTCCTTCAAATTAAGAGCATCATTAGCTGAAAGCTGATCTTTTTTATTTCCCACCAGCTGCAGAAACAGTTCAAACGTTCTGACGAGTGTTGCCTTCAGGAACACATCTGAGCGTCGGACAATAATAGAACGCATAGTGGTCGGCAGCCGCGCTGCTAATATTAGCTCAGACAGTTGTTTGGGTTTCTGTCCCGGGTCAAGCTTTTAAATACAATCAAACCTGTTTCCGAAGTGGCTTCAGAGCGAGGAGAGGGGTGTTGTGTTTCAGTCAATGAAAGCCGCGCACGCACGCACGCGCACACTCGTGAACTCCTTCTGAAGTCCTTGCGCGACCTCTTCAGCGGACTTCTGGTTACAGCCCTGCTGAGCTGAGGGGGGACCAGAACCAACAGTCTGCTGCAGAACCAGACACCAGAGGGTCTCTGTCGGTCCAGGCAGAGGACGTTTGATCCGTCACTTTATTTATGCTGATAAAACACGTGCACCATAGCTCCCATCATACAGATCTACTGTTGTTGGGCAATGAATTATGTTGCAGCAATCTTGTCTCGTTTATTTCTGTTCGTGTCGTTTTATTTGTCGTTGTTCCAATCCAGTCATTCACAGAAACAGATCAGGACAAACAGGAGAGGAAAATGATTTTTCACTACTGTTTTAGATTTCCCCTTCCAAGACATGAATGATGGATCATTTCATTTATTTATTGAACTCATCCATACAAATGGTTATTAAACCACAAAGCTAACTTTAAAAAAGGTTCAGCCATATTTATGAGAAACAAGAATAAATGGAAATAATTTACACAACCTGCTCTTTTAATAATAAATCATTCAATTACAGAAACATTTAACTACAAGTGAAACATTTCCTACATTAGATCACCTGTTCTGATTCTAGTTTTTTTGTTTACAGAAAAACAAATGTTGGATTTTCAATTTATCATCTATATTTAATAGTTGCATCACTAAACAGGAATCAATTTTAAGGGTGCAAAATGAAATAACATAATAAAAGTTGTACATTTTTATTCATAAAATGACTTTAGATCATCTTCTGCACACGTCTATTTATGATCCTTTAAAAAAGTGATATTTTACATCATTATAAAAATCACGTGCATAATAATTAGAACAAAATATAAACTAAACATGTTAGCTATTAAAACTGAATTATTCACGTTTTTGCATTTTTATTACTCTGATTATGAAAAGCAGTAAAAAGAAAAACAAAAAAGTGAGCCAAACATATTATTTACTTTGATAAACAGTTTATTCACACAATAAAAAAACATACAATGACGAAAACAGACTTTAACTTTGCCTCCAAAACTGTTCAAATATGACAGGTTATTGGTGGCTGTTGACTCCAAAACTATAAATTTTGTTTCTCTAACAAAAATAATATTTGGTCTTCTCTGACCTCACTCCATCCTTTAAATTTGATTAAAAACTTGAGTGTTTTTAAAGAAAATCTCATATAAATGCCATTCAGACTTTAGGTGATATATTTGCTTTTGGTTTAAAGTGAAGGAAAGCATCTGGTGGGAGTGATTTGTGGGATCCGAGTCTTTGAAGGATGGAAGTTTCCAAAACTCTCCCTGACCTTTCAAGACCGTATCGGCTTTAAAGTGCTGGCTGTCGTCCTGCAGCCACGAGCGGCAGATAAGGGGCGAGCAGGAATCCACGTCATCAGATCTGATCTGGCTCAAACAGACCACGAAGCAAACGGTCTCTTTGGTCAACCTTTGTGACAGATTAGAATTCAACACTGAGACACAAAGCCCACAAATTAAGGTTTCCATCATAAGAGAAGCTTAGGTCAAATCTCAATAAGAGGGAGGTAACATTGAGCACAAACGAAGGTCAGGTGCAGTGACATCATTTCTGATTTACATGCACGTGGCAATCAGCCCACCGCCATGTAGGTCTGTTGTTCGGCCGTACCTGCCAATCATCTGAAGAAAATCCCACAAGGACGAACTCCCAAACCGGCTCAGAAACTTCTGCTGTATCTCATTTCAACGATTTCAACATCTCTCCCCGTCCACCTATGCACAGAGTCAAGCAGCTGTTTCACAACACCGCATCGCATGAGTAATTGTGAAACCGAGCAACTCAAACCATTTATCAAATCCCTTACACCGCCTCCAACACGGAGGGCTCGGGTCCAGCTCCCACAGAAATATGCTACTTATTAGAGGCAAATTGTAAAATTTTTCGCCAGGTCAGGAGAAATGAATATTAAACACTGCTGGTTGCTGGTGTCAGCTGGAAGCGGCCAAAACAAGTCAGAAACATCATCCTGAAGCAGTCAAGGGACAGAGTGTGTGAGCGAATGARTGAAGGTGGAGACTTCGAAACAGGCTCAACTGAGAAACAGGAGAGAGTGTTGAGATTAATTATTCCATTTAATGCTGAGGGAGGAGAAAACAATAAAAACAATGCCACCTGCATCAATGCTGCCATCTTGAGCCAAAGCTGAGACAGTACAAACAATTTGTCCAGCTGATAAATGTACTGAATTACAAAACCCTATAAAAATATCTTACAGACATAAACAYGATGCACCATCACAGAATAATTTACAGTAAAACTATCGAGCTCAGAAGTGAATGGTTCACACTGAAAAAAAAATACTAATCTTTCATTATTTTTTCCCCTGCTTTGGGTTCATTTTAAAGGATTTTTACCGTCATTTATTTTTACAATTTGAACAATTTTTCTTATTTTTAAGTGTTAAAACACAATAAATGTACCAAATATTAACAAACAGATTTGATTCAAACAATCAGCACAGTACTATAAAATCGGTTATCATAAGGTGAGTTATATACTGTATACAGTATAAGTACCACAACTAGAATCACTGAAACTAACCCACCCAAGTTTCATCTATTTAGCTCACATAAAAATATAAAAAGGTCACAATTTAATGTTTTAGTACACACAGTAAAAACAATAAAAAATAATATATTTTGCTCTTTCCAGGTCTCTATTGTTTGTTTTATGCTTATAACTCATATTATATTAAAACTCTTAATGTAAAAGTAGCCCTGAGAGTCAGAGGTGACAGTGGAAGTTAGCTTGTTTCAAGCTGAACATATCAGCTATATTTACAGGTTTAAGATTTCATAACTGAGTTTGTGAAATTTGTTCCAAAAAGCTTTTCAGTGTGTTTACAGTGTGAAACTCCAGATGTCAACATTTGCACATTATTGATGAGCTCATTTATGGCCTAAAACTGCATTAAATTATTCATGATTGTTTAATCTAGGAATAAAGAACAACTTTTACGCTTCTAAAAGTCAGTGCATAGTTTCACAAACCCTGTACAGTTCACACAGCAAAAAGAACATTACTCGTCTGCAAAACACCGAGAACTGAATCTCACTCATCCACAAACTTACTAGCTCTCTTTTCATTAAAGTGCCTGGTTTCCAGTGACTGAGATGCAGCCTATTTGACGTGGAAAACGCCGACATTCCCACTGGAAATGTACATCAGAGAGAGATGCTGGGCTGCTGGTTTTCCCTTTACTTCACAGCACTTCATCGACGTGCGGGGGGCTCGGTCCATCATCGTCAGCCTCCTTCTGAAGCTGCTGGTACTTTCTTTTGAAAAACCCAAACTGAAAAATAAGAAAACAAATTGTAATTTCACATCTGCACCAAAATTTTATCAAGAAAGAAAATGCTGCRGTATAAAAATCTGGTTTTAAGAAACAAACATCCCTACAATGTCAATAAAGGTTCCTGTTTATTAAGGCAACATATATATCAGCCAGTAAGTGTATACGGTAATCACATTATTAGTGCTCCTTTTTATTATTTTGATCAAATATCTGAAAACAACGTTACCTTCCACAACAATGCGACAGCCGCAGCCAGCAGCAGCAGCCCTGCTATGACGCTGCCAGCTATCACTCCCACAGGAACATCAGCCGTCTCTCCAGGTTTACTGACCGTCAGCACCACCTGGACACCAGAAAATCACAGCACATCACGACAGAGCCCACTCCAACTCAGTCATGACTTCAGCTTTTGTTGGTTTAGCWACGTTTGGTTAACGAATTCAGATCTCACGTTTTGCCGTTTGAGGCCAATGATGAGCAGATCTGGGTTGGAGGTCTCCACATCCAGACTGGAGGTCAGCTCGATGGACTGATAGGTAGCCTAACATGGCAGAGATATTCAWATCAGAGCACTGGAAGCCTCACTGGGACTCTATTTAACTGTAACATAACTGAATCAATTAATGATAATAAATGAATAGGTTTACCGTATTGAGCGTCCCAGTCCAGATCCTGGTTTTAACTTTCACCAAGTAGGTGCTCTTAACGTCAGCATCTTTTAGGATGCACTTTATGCTTTCACATTTTGCATTTTTGCAGTCCTGTTAGGTAAAACAAAATAATATGAGAAAACATTAGCAATGATGAGGCAGCTAAAAAAAATGAGCAAATTTATCAGATATGTTAAAAGAAAGGCTGTAGTGAAAAAATGTTTTAGCCCCCTCTAGTGGTCAAATGAAGCTACAGCAGCTAATATGTTTTACTAAGTCCAAAGACTTTCCTGAATTCAGTCTTATTTTTACCATAACAAAAACAACTAGAACAACAGCAGAAAATGGAGTTTAAAATATAAAATCAGCTAAATAACTTATAAATCAAGCTGGGCTTAAAAATTATGTGATGACTGTAAAACCTTTCAACAATCACAGTCTGTGTAGATTCTCAGTCCTCCTGGTAAAGTCGTTCAGTAGAAGGCAACAAGAGTTTCTCAAACTTTTCATCCAAATGCTTCTCTAAATTCTTTGTCTGCGATTTGAACCAAGGGCTTTCTTGCTGTGAGGAACTGTGTCTAAACAACATGCCTCTTTTGATTTATCAAAGTATTGTTGATGCAGAGGTGCAGAAGATTTGTTCCAAGCTCTCCTCAGATGAAGGAGCTCCTCACCTCATCTTTAATTGAGCACCTTTTTCCTACAAAGGAATCCTGCTTCAGTCACTTATAGGATCTGATTCTTTCAGCCATGATACCTCATGGTGAGGTTTTTTACTTTATAGTTTGTTTCTTGAATGAAACATTAATAATACAAAAAAGAAGTCATGCAATTTTAAGGTTTAGATGTCCTGATGCATCTCAGTAATCAAGGTAGAAAAAAATCAAAAAGAAAAAAAAATAAGTAGGTCCTCTGGATGGGTTCTTCTTTAGTGAAACGTTTTATCTCTCCTCCGAGAGACTTCTTCAGTCTGATGAGTTTCAGGTGAACTCAGCCTTATAAGCACTGCCTCCACATGGTGGACAAACAGGTTAGTCACATGCAAAAGAGGACCATCGCCTAACAATAGGCTTGATTAGCTCTATTTGTATATAAAAATTGTTGTTAGATCTAATCAAGCCTATTGTTAGGCGATGGTCCTCTTTTGCATGTGACTAACCTGTTTGTCCATGTGGAGGCAGTGCTTGAGTTCACCTGAAACTCAGACTGAAGAAGTCTCTTGGAGGAGAGACGAAACGTTTCACTAAAGAAGAACCCATCCAGAGGACCTACTTATTTTTTCTTTTTGGTTTAAAGGTTTAGATTTGATATTTTTATGTAGATTTATMATTTTAAAACAGGAAACATCACATGTGAGGATTCCTCCTAATGCACAAAGGCAAAACAAACATGACACAGACAAAAATATGGGAATGATCAAAGGGACTGACYAGTTTCCCCATGCCTCTGAAGCTCTCCTCTGAGAAGGAAACGTCATGGCTCTTGCCACCGATCTGCAGAGGATCAACTAGACGGCTGGAGTCACAGCTAACAGCTCCTCCCTGTGAGTGGAGAACATGATCGTTCACTCTGTAGCTTTATAAATCATCCATGCAGATCCCTTTGGAATACTCACTGCTTGTGTTTCCACACTGGTCAGATAGAGGAGATGGTTTCCTCCTTTAGTGTTCATTGGTAGATTTATGGTCAGATACAGGAGGCTGACAGGGAAGTAACCTGTTGAAATCTTTGAACACACCCCACCCCCCTCAGTTATTAATTCAAATATATGAATTGTACAATATTTCAAGAAATGGATTTGTTTTAAATCACCTTGACTGTAAAGTTAAACTCTGGGCCGATATCATCCAGAGTTTTCACTGTCGTCACCACACGACCGGACATGTTTGCCACGTAAAAATTAATGTTTGCTTCCCTGTGAATTAAAAGTGAAAACAGTTATTTTCATCCTTCGAAACTCATTTAAAAGTGACTGAAATAAACTCACTTGGATAAAACGATCCCCGTGTCGTACTGCAAAGGAATGGATRTGTCCTTATTATTGTCTGCCGGGTATTCCTCTCTGCCATCGCTGTAAATAACACACATCTTTTAACATTATCTGATGGAAAAAAAAAAGCTAACTGAATAGTTTGTAAACAATCCTTTGTACCTTTTGGCCTCAAATTTGACTTCAGCGAGACTTTTAAGGGTATCAAAGCTGTAGTCAAAATTGATCTGAAATGTCACCTGCAATGAAAAAAACAGAATGTTTTTTTATCACAAATATGCATTCTGTCATTCTGCAAAGGAATGCACATCACCCACTGCCTCTCATGCCAGAGTTTTAAATATACTGAGAAGTGGCAGAGTTAAAGCTGATTTGGTCAAACCTACAGTAAATAACATCATGCACAAGATGTGAGAGACTCTCAGCTACTACCACAACAAAGTCATGTTTGTGTTGGCTTGAGTTGATAAACTGCGACAATCAKCTTTAACTGAGTTATAGAAGTGCAATGTTAAAATCTCTATAATAAATATGCATTTTTAGAAAGATAACTTGGATAAAATATTGACGTGGAGATGGACAGTTGTTGAGATATTCACATGTGAAGTAACAGGAAGTGATGTCAAAGGGGAATATTGGAATGTGAACAGAGTTATGACTAACAACACAGACAGTAGAGAAGAATGTTTCTGTAGAGTATTTTAAAACTATCAAAGAGATGAAAAGTTCAAAGTAATATTTTTTTCAATAAACAAAGATCAGAGTTCTCTTTCTGAAAGAGTTCCCCTTTGATGTCACTTCCTGTTTCACTTCAAATGAGCCAAACTCAAAAGAAAATGTGTCAGTTATGTGACAAAATGGGTAACATCGTGTGTATTATGTCAAGTTTCTTAAACATGAAGATGTTTTCTTTGGCTTTTTTGTATTTGAAGGATAGGCATGTCACAGGCACTTTAAAACCTAATGCAGGGTTTAAATATACAACTGATGATC